GTGGCAATAAGAACAGAAGTGCACGCAATGTAAATAGTCCACAATATAAATGGCTCCTAGATACGCTGGTGCAACAAGGATTGATGTCAGCAAAGGAACAAGCACTTATTTGCCAGAAGTGCTACATGAAGTATCTTCGGAACAAAAATCAGCCTGAACCTGAACCCGAGCAGAACCAGGAAATAGAGGAAGAAGACGACTCCCCGTCCCATATCCTGCCGTTGCTGACCCTTCATGATCTTTTGAATGGATCATCTTCACACAAAAAATGCTGTCTCTGTCTTGTTACCTTTGCAAGAAATGGAACAAAATCATCAGTCTTACCAAAACGTGCAAGACATCACCTGATCTATTCACACAAACTGTGGTGTCCCACCTCATCCCGCGTCTGCTCCATTCACCTTATTGGTAACGACTTAGATCCGTCTACAGAGGTTGTCCTTGATGGTAGAGGTTCCTTGGAATCTCAGTTACCATCAAAATCGTCCGAAATCATTAATGACCTCCTAGAGGTGTCGCACGTCCTTTCACAGAACCAGTCTGCGTTTACAATAAGCTTTTCTTCTCTTGATGACTCGGCATGCATGGCCTGGACAGGTTGGTCCAAAGATCAGTTCCTCGAAATCCACTCGCACTGTTCCCCATATCTTTCATCTGGTATATATACCAAGACTACACACGATGCTCTATTACTGTTCTGGGTAAAACTGAAAACCGACATTTCCTGGAGTCAGTGTTCTTCTCTTTTTGGAATTTCCAAGTCAAGTGTGTCCAAAACTTTCCACTCCATAGTACAGGCATTAGACACATCGATAGTCCCACAATTTCTAGGTCCGGATCACTTGACAAGAGAACAGTTGCTCGGGCACAATACTGTCTTTTCAGAAGCATTTTTTGGAGATAAAGCCACTGCCATATTAGATGGCACCTATATTTATATCCAGAAAAGCTCCGACCACAAGCTCCAGAGAATGTCCTACTGTGGCCAGAAGAAGAGAAACTATCTCAAATTCATGAGCATCGCCTTACCAGATGGCTACATTCTGGACACAGTAGGACCATTCACTGGCAGCGAAAATGATGCTACAATTACAAAAAAAGTCATGGACAAGCTAGTTACTTGGCTACAACCAGACGACAACGTTGTCGTTGACCGAGGTTTTAGAGATGTCCTACCAGTTCTCGAAGCCTCTGGCCTCAATGCTAGCATGCCGTCATACCTGAAACCCGGTCAAAGTCAACATTCTGACGTCCAAGCAAATCTTGACAGAACTATCACCAAATCGAGGTGGATTGTGGAATCCTATCATGGTCGTCTGAAACACTGGACGTTCTTCCGAACGCAATTGGTGTCTAACAGCTTTATCAATGTCATCGAGGCTTTGCTTCGAACCGTCACAGCCTGTCTGAATGGTATTAGAGGACCGATCTACCAGAGATCTCCAGAGAGAGATGCCAAAGATAGGCTAATGGCTGAACGTATGAAGGACCGTTTGACAACACCGAATGGTTTAGCTCAGAGAGTCAAGACAGATCCGGATCTATCTAGACGGGCAAGGTCCGAGTTTGTCAAGATGGATGCATCTTCCGTACTGTTTCCCCGTCTCGATCTTGATTACTTGAGAACCATTACGTGTGGAACGTATCAGATATCTCTGGCTCCTGGTTACATCGCCGAACATTTAAGTGATGACGGAGACTATGAGGTGTGGCTTTACCAGCACTCCCCAGACCTTCTCCGATGTCAAATACATTCTCGACACAAAAGCCAAACGAAATATAACGTTTGGATACGGTTCACCGTTTCACCCGATGTTGAGGCCCCAATAAAGGACTACTACTGCCAGTGCCCAGTTGGAGAGAGAACGATGGGAATGTGTGCGCACATCTCCAGTATCTTGTACTACCTTGGGTATTACAGGACGCTGGAAAACCCTCGACCATTACAACCACAGGTAAAGAAATTCCGACAAAACTTGAAATAGTTTTCCATGCGGCAACGGAGTGCATATGTCGAAAGTATGTTTGGGGCTCGATATGAAAGATCCCCGTTACCATGTGACTAACCAAACTTATAAATATAGGTATTATACAATCGCCCGTAGCTATGAACACTCCCGTAAATGCGAAAACCAACCAAAATCATAAGGAACACGTTTTGTTTGTTGTTCTGTCTATTTGTCAGCCAATGTCTTCAACCACGGGGACTTGTGAAGTAGCCATCTTGGATTTTTTTTATGAAAAAGTGTTTCTCTCACTTTTTTTCATATCTGTGTACATATTCTCAACATACCGAGCAAATACTCTCGTTTTTTTGTTAATTATCTAAAGAAAGTCGAAAATCGGCAATTCAACCATAGGCTAATTCAACCCAACATTTGAAAATGTTCCACCACTTACATTTTGATGATTTTTCCTCTCATCAATAGCATATTACGTACTGTTTAATAGGATAAAAATTGGTTTGCATCCAACGCCCATAAAAGGGTGTATTCTCTAAAAAAACACAGTTTTTGTGTCTAAAATGTTATCATCGAAAATGGCATTTTTGAGATTGTTTCTTCCATAAAACAGCCAAATGGCGCGATGGAAACATGATTTTTTGTCACAATCATGCCATGAATGTATTCTTTACGGTGACCATCATTTGATTAGATTTTCATTAATATTTTACATAACATGCACATTTTATCAACACTTAGACAGCTTCTGAAAGGTACAACTTTGAGGAGCTATAAAAAACAAACCAAGTGACCTAAATCTATATACTTTATAGATTTGTGACCACAACGGCATGGGCAATGCACCACCAACAGGAAATTTGAATCAGAGAAGGGGCCGTTTTGGAAACCGGCCCTTTGATTCCATTTTATATTTCACATTTTTTTTATTGAATATTGCATCTCATACAAATTCAAACGGAATTGGGCAACAGGCGTAATGCCTATACAAGCCCTCTCCTATGGTACGGACAATGTATATTATAATATATTTATTGTGAAATAATTTAAAAGTTTTTCTACATTTATGACAGAAGTCATCGACCAGAACTCCCACGCAGTGACTCGTTAATTTAAGTTAAATATACATGTATTCCTTCACACAAAAAGCAACATGCACGCAGAAAAATAAACCAAACACTGCGTTATATATTTACTTTGGACGGGGATGGTGAAACGGCATGCACGAATTCGTGAATAAATTCCCCTAGTGTACCTCTCGACGACTTTCAATAATTCTGCTAAGCAGTGTATCAATTGAGGCTGGGAAATGTATTTTGTCTGAATTATTAATGTGCCAGATAATGTCAACTGTGCAAGAAGGAGTGAGATTTGAAAACGCTCACACGATTGTAACAGTTATACACATATTGAATCACTGACACGCGCAAGAGCAATAGCTTAGGTATATACAGGGTATTCCAGCAGTGATTTTTTACCAGTCCTTCTCAACGGTTTGTTTTAATCTTTGCTTTATAATTTCGGTTGCCTTTTGCAATAATGATTAAATTTGATGTCAGCATATGTGGTTTTATCATAATAACTGTTGATAGGTACACAATCGGTTTGTACCCTGTGTAGTTTATAAACGAGAACCTATTTTCATGAATCTGAACTAAGTATTTGCCACGGAAGTTTCAATTTCTATGACACAGTTGACTGTCACATGTCAAGGAAAACTTAACGAAACTTGAACGAAACGTCGACCTAATATCGAAATTAACAACAGTTTGAAATAGAGCGAAGAAAAGTGAGATGATATAATGTTCATTGCTTACCGGGAAATCTGTTCTCCGTAAATTAACCACACGGACCGTGTGTATTTAAAGGGATAATTAGATATAAAAGACGACGTCCACGTCTTCCATTCCATATCTAAACCCAAGTTCGGATTCTTCATGTATATACTGCACACATGCAACGGGTGATAACTCTCGCTAACTGTGGGTGACTTCGCTAGCATGTACCTGTATGATGACAGGTTCAATGTGCACTCAGTAAATCCTATCAGACAAATCGTCAGTCTAGGCTGCGAAAAGTTTTTCCGAATCCGCGGGGGTCAATATGAACACGTTAAGACGAATTTCGCATCAATCTATCCAAAATTTTCCTTTTTACAATGATGGGATGTCACCGTATGTAGACAGCTGCAAGGACTCGAAGGAAAAATGGAAGTAAACTTGAAGGACTGCCAACAGGTCTGAACGGTTACTCAGTGTATCGTAGAATTTCTACGTTTTAGAAGGTTTTGGGGGAAGACACTGCGGAAAGTGAAAATAAATGCGACAAATGAACAGTTTTACATACCGATGTGAACAGCAAGTATTTAAAATCAATACGATCATGCAACATGTTTCTGTTCAGGGATTGTTATATTTAAATCCATGTATTCACATATAAGTACTGAAATACTAGTAGTAAGCATCGCTGATCGACTAAAATAAAACTTGTTTCCAATTTTCACCGCTCTTTCATTTTCTGAATATATATCAAATGAAATAATAGTTAAAATTACCTGAACATAAAATGATTACCAATGTAAAAGGACTGTTGCGATGATATTGACATTATAATGACCGATGTTTTGGATCCGTGCATGCATATACAAACGTACAATGTACATTGTACTTGTATATCAGGATTCACGTGATATATTACAGCATTAACCCTCCAACTATGTTTACTTATCCATCGATTTTAAACGTCTTTTGAATAATTCTGGTTAGCTTATTCAATAAATGATGTTTAAAATTTAAAAAAAAAACGGTGTCTATACGTAAAAAATATTTTAATTGAAAATTGTTCAAATACCAAACAGATTTATTACCAAGGTTGTTTCTTATTTTTGGATTATTTTGTTTTATTGATTTTTCAGCAACGTTATCTTGAAAACGATGTCTCTGTCAAATTTGAGATTTATGTAATCCCAATAGAGTCGAAAAGTATTTAAATTATTTATTTTAAATCGTTAAAATGCTTGACAAGTATAAGAAACGATGCATTAAATGAGAAAAGATGTTTTTATTATTTTCTTTTAGAAACACATTTGTACAGGTTAGCAAGTTAACAACACAAACAATCCCAGCGTAAAACAGCTTATCTAAATAAGCATAAGGACTCAAGTGTACCTCTTATCAAGCTGACGTTAACGTAAAGCTGTTTATACGTATTATGAGATAAACGTATTATGAGATAGATATGATTTGATATACTATACTTTACAATGCTCTTTAAAGTCTCTGATAATAGTATATACTTGTCGCTGTTAATCCTTTGCCTTCAGTTTTTAGCACAACTCGTACAGACGTCGTTACCTGCTACCTTCCTTGTTAGTGATTACGAACCTACAGGATTGTAACTCTACTTTAGAGGGGTCTTTACGCAGACAAACGTATGGAAAAATATACTACCCAGTAGAGATATTCTATTCGTAACCGTCAATCCCATCTCGTTCAGGAAGCGCTCTTTCTGTTCTGTGCCCCAGCTCACGCCTAGAGCAGAACTGTGATGGTGACAACAGCTGCTGGGAACACAGTAAAACGAGCTGAAGGTCAACGCATTGGCGGCGTGCATGTTACCGACGTTGTTCATAGGGTCACTGCTGACATCAGGGTCGAGAATGACAATTATTCCGTCATCCTTCAGCACTTTTAATATGTCTGTCATGGTTTGTTTAGGATATGGAAGATCATGAAGAAGATCAAACAGGAGAACTACGTCAAACTTCTTCATCCAAGCGTTTTCGTAAGCTCCACCATCGACTTTGACGAAAGATAAGTTTTTAACTCCCTCGCAAGATTTTGATGCGGTTACAATAGCTTTTTCTGATGTGTCACATCCGATAACTGACACGCCCTCCAAACCCTTTGCCAAGGGAATAGTGATATCGCCTGTACCACATCCGACATCCAGAACGTGCTTTATTGCACCTTTATCTAAATCAGGAAAATACATTAATACAATAGTCTTAGTTATGAGCAAATACATAGATGGAAAAGGTCCGGTGTCGATGCACCCTTACCCTAAAGTTATATATATCTGTTAAATACTTCCCGATGTACAGCCTTTGTTGTTTAACCAAATTCTCTGGGTTATTCCATGTAGTTAAATATGTTTCCAAAACTTGTATCGACTTTTCTAAATTGTGTCTGCAAAATATTATCTTGATTGGCCTCTCGCCATAAATTCACGAAAAGATCTTGCGAAATGTGCATGTGTAAGTTAAGATCAGAAGTTAAACGAATTTATGAACAGAGCAATTCATAGCCAGAATTATCTCAGTAACATTTTTTTTTTCATCTGTCTATTTATATCTTGACTAATTCTAATACACAAATGTGTTCACTACCTACCAGGGTGATACAGCTGCATGTTCTGTATAAGTTCAGCGACAAGTTTAGGTGTGTGCGGGGATCGAACTTTGTTGACCAGTTCCAACACATGCGGTGCTTCGTCAAGAGTGTACCCTTCATCAAGATATAAATAAGCGCATAAGTAATATCAAAGTTTTACTTTCTACACAAATAAATCAAAGAAGCTATCAAAATCAGGAAAACTCAGAACATGAACAGCGACGAGGGGAACACCAGCTGAGTCATCTGTATGACCCAATACTAACATAACAGGGGAGGGGGCTAAATGTACACCCTACCTGTAACCCATCAGATGCAGTGTGTATACGCTCCCTATCGATAGGCGAAACGTCTCGGGTTGAGTGACATGAAAAATATACAATTTCGTCACATCGTTGTATAGGCAAAATATATAAATAGTTCACTCAGTTACAGATTGAGAAAGGAACCAGTCAGTCTTGAAACGTAGCGACACGTTTAATACGTACATTGTTTGTGTAGAAAGTAAAACTTGGATATCAAAATTTCCAAACTGATTAATCTTATTGAAGATAAAGCGCATAAGTACATTTGATACATTAATGATATTCCGACAGTACACATGTTTGTACATTATCAACTGTAATCTTCAAGAAATACATAAAAATGGAACAGTTAACAGCAAATACATAAACTTGTGGACATCAACATAAGTAACAATACACAAAGAACCGTTCTTAATGTGACGATTCAGATATCGTTACGAGTGATATAAGAAAAAGAAAAGTAGCCTGATCTTGTTTCCTAGTTCTGTTTTCAGAATAAAAGGACTGAACGAGATCCAAGTGCACTTAATTCAATGAAGACAGGAAAGATTAGACACTATTTCCGAATAATTTAGGTTGGGTTTATTTTTTACCGTCCTTTTAACAGCTAAGGGCATTTAAAGACGTGCCTCCATGTGTGTTATGTACATGTATATGTGTGTATGTGTGCTACAGGCGGGATAGGTTGTTACATTTACCTCCTAGAGATAGCACGGATAGGATGCAACTTTAGAGTGTTATATCATCGTAATATCATGCTGAAGGCACCTAGCGCAATATTTCACCCAGTTACATTAAACTGACAACGGATAAACCAGTTGTTGTGTTAATCTTAAAAGCTGAATGATAAGCAGAAATAACGTCTACCAATTTGAAGGACTTCCGCATGTCCGAGCCTAAGGACAGAACCCATTCCTTACCCCACTTGGACGAAAGCACAACACTAACGCCGAAGGGGGTATTGTCAAGCAATGCACTAGGAAACAAAAAGAAGTAGAGAGAAAATAGAAGTACGGATTAAGGAATAAAGCATATCCCAACTTATAAACGAAACAAGAAATCTTGATTAAAACTAAACACCGGTTCCGTTTATAGTACATACAGGTATAGCTGGCATGCATTCAAATCCCACAATTGAATACATTGTATGTGCAGGTCCTCAAGCAGGATATAACATTATCTAACATATAAATTACACACGTTTGGTGGCATATTTCATCCATCCGCCTACGACTTGCAAATTACTCATGTCGACATAATTTGTAAAAAATGTCGATATAATCTAAGATGATATTTTTATATTAAGTCGACACAATTTTGGAATTATGTGGCCACATATTAACATTTGTCGAGATATTTTTTGCCGAATTAAAAGACGTAAGCACATCGACAGGAACACAAGCAACTATCAATATATAAATACACACAAAAGGTCATTACTGTTAATTTGGTAAATATACCCACCCGCTTTGCCATCTTCTGGAAAGCATTTATCAAGAATAGGAAGTGTCTCAAGGAGATGGGGTTCCCATTCTGCTTTTTCAGTAGCCTCTAGCAAATCCTTGACGCAATCGGGCGGTATGGCTAACTCTCCTTCTGAATTCATTGATATTACGCCTGTTGCCATCATTGCCTGGCTCAGCTCCCAAATGTATCTAACAAAGATACATATAGGTAATTTAATAGTAAACACGCAAGTATTATGACTTTAAATTCAAGTTCTTGCGAATATGGAATACCGTAAAACGTGCGTTTTGCCCGGATCTTAATCCATCAGGCCACAACAAAGATAGGATATGATGAAGGTTGTTTAGCTTTAGTAACAAATGCAAATGTTGAAAAAATGTACTTGCTGGCAAATATGCAATTAACACAAAGAAACTAATCAAACATATTAGAATCAATTTAGTTTTTAAACAATTTCTCATTCCAAGAAGAACATTATTACAAACTTATCAATCACCCTCACATTGCTACTACACATTTAAGTTCATAATCATAGTGTACCTTTCCTTCATGTGGAGCGATGTAGCAAGGGCACGTGGTGCCATGGGTTTTGCTGCTATTGCCTGAAACATGTTCAGTCTACTGGCCAGTTTCATGCCAGAGCGTACCACTGGGTCTGACGTAGCCTTCTTGAGGAGCGTCGCGTACAACTGCCGACTCATGTTTAATGACCTACAATGTAGAAGAAATATTTTTGAAGAACGAGCCCAACAACAAAAACATACAAAAACAAAAATAAAGCGGCAATAATGTTGAAGCTGTGCCTTGTCAACATTTATTATATTTGTTTTATTGAGAACATGACTTACAACTGCCATCTATGTATAAATATTTACGGAAACAATTCTGTGAAATTCTAAGATCAAATTATGGTTTTATTTTTGTAACCATACTAGATACCGTCGCTCATAGATATCGCTGGTAATGAAAGACCAGCCAAAAAAGCTACAAAAGGACCCTCAGAGGTCAGATATAATTATCTAAAAAAAGACCTCGGTCAAACAGAAGATTTTTTTTTGTTTTGGTACGGTTTTGTACTGTCTTGAATTGTTTTACGGCCAATCGACAAACAGAGGTCATCAGTTTGATTACTAAACAAACCAAATAATGTGGAACAACAGCTTAGAACTTAGAGGACAATGCCAAAACGAATAACCGATTGAATAATAGCGGGTCATTAACAGCAACGTTACAGCTGTACGTGACAATAAAAACAAAACATTACAAATAATACTCTTCGTTTAACGACGTACACTTATTAATTAACAGAAAGTGTAGTTTTATAAATGGTTCATAGAACAGGCGATACACTGTACGAACAGACCCTTACTTACCGAAAGTAAAAATATTTGATATTTGACACTAAATATCACATGTCTATTATGCAATTGTCACAAAGAAGAAAAGTTTGCCGGAGGTAAGTCATAAAAAGATATTTTAAAAGAAGAAAATTAAGCGGAAGATACAACCTCCACTAGACTCATACATGCACAAGCACACACCAAATAGAAGAGATGACTACCCTCCACATATACTTTATAATAGGTAACCTTGGATTTTTCTGCAATTATTAAACATTACAACCTCTATGGGGGGCTTCATATTCAAAAACGAACATTTTGTTTCTCAAATCTTGCTGAGTAATAACCCACCTTGATGATTTGGTGACAGGTCAATGTGCACCGAGTTAATTTTATAAAGAAAACCATCAGTCATATATAACTATACTTAGGTAAAACTAGGCTACAAAAAGGTTTCACGAATCCACGGAAGTCAATTAGGACACGTTATGCATACACGTGAATTTTGCATAAATCTTAACAAAGTTTCCCTTTCAAAATGATCAGTGTTTACGTTTCTATACGGCTGCAAGGAATTAAAGAAAAACAAATTGAAGTAAAATTGAAGAACTGCCATCAGGTCCGGACAGTTACCCCTGTACATCGTAAAGTTCCTATATTTCAGAATGTCTGTGGGGACGTCACTGCGGAAAGTGAAAATAAAGTCTGCAAAAGAACAGATTTACATACCGATGTGAACAGCAAGTGTATCTTCTCAGGATCTGACAGCTTCACTGGAACTCGGGTCTGTGTGCAGCACCGGACTAGTCTGTCTTATATAGATATTTGTTCTAGAGTATTAACGTACACTTACTGGTCAACAGGAAGGTCGAACTTATCACTGTCCGTTCAGCGAAAGCGGACACTTCAAATTTATCTGGCTAAGCTACACTTTCCTGACCAATGATTGATATAGTTCAATACATGTTCATATTGTTACCTACTGAATGACGTATAGTAAGCATCGCTATCGAATGGGGGTTTCAAACAAAAAGTGTCTAATTTTACGACAATATTTAATTCTCTGAAAATATACAACATGGGAATAATTAGTCTCTGAATATATGACGCGAAACATTTTATTGATATTCTTTGAATTTGAACAAAATGACATTATAATAAATTTTATCTGACAATATATAACATGACATTATAGTTAATTTTTCTATGGATATATTTAACATGATAATAAATATAAAAACATATCGTCTCGATCATAGTAAATACGAACGTTCCAAATTATGTTCACTTCATTACTTGCGTTGAACTTTGTCATATACAGCCATAACGGGAAAGTCTTTACATACATGTACGCTGTAGAACAATATCAGTGGAATTTTCTCTACATTTTTTGTTTTTATATTGTTGAATTAAAGTTAGAAAATTTACTGTTTGTTTCTGATGTTTCTATTACCAATGGTTGAATGTGGCGCAAACTTGAATTTGACATTTCGTAGTTCAAATAAATAGACTCGTTGCTATTTTACAAATGTGTTTATACACGAACTGTACTGAAACTATTGGTTTTTATCTTTTGTAGTATCTAAACTGTTTTATTCCTATCATTGTCTCCAATGTTCTGATGTGTTAGGTGTTGTGTTATTCCATTTTGTTCTGTAGTGGCTTTTGAGGCGTTTTCTACCTTTAGTTATTAGTGCATGTTTTATGTTCCCTTTCTATTTTTACGTTATAACGTTTGAAGGGTGTGATAATGTGTTTGTTAGTTGCACTTTTATACTTTTCATTCTTAATTTTCACGTATGTACATTAGTGCTGCATTGATTCACGAATTCCCCTTAGCAATATAAATATTATGAGAGTATTCCAAATGGTTTAGTTGTCACGGTAGTCTAGTTGTAGGACGCGGGCTCGTGACCGAAAGGTTGCAGGTTACACAGCACTGTGTTGTATTATTGTATTGTGTTACTGTCCGCAGTTTATTATACATATTACGACTTAACAAATTACAATAAATGTTGTAAAACAAATAACAACTTTTTTATTACTTTACACATCTATGTCAATTTAAACAATGGACCTGAACAAAAATGTCATTTACAGTGATTATCGTATCCATATGTTCTATTTAAAGATGTGCTAATGAGAAACATCTGCGTTGGTTCGATGCACATACTACATTTTATAGTATTTAGTTTCGTAAAGACCAAATAGATTTTGCAGTAATTAAAAAATACATTCCTTAGGGTTTTTCTTGTGTATCAACAGCACGTGTGTCTATTCATAGAGCAGATGAAAGTGTGTCAGATTCAAATAGAATTTTTCAGCTGGTCGAGTACCCGAAATGGAACACTTCATCACATATGTCAGTTTATGAAAATAACTGACAGCATTTTAAATAATTTTCTTCATTTTAAAACCTTTTTGACAATTCTCGACAGGTTTTAGTTATTCATATAGCTTTTCATGTTTAGAAATATGATAGGATATCTATGTTGTTCGCTGTACCGCTTCCCGGGATTAGTTTGATTTTTTTTCATTTCATTTGAGTTTATGAGCAATGTCAATGAGGTAGGCAGATGGAATTTGCTCAAAATGCATACAACTTTATAAATCTTGATTTAGAATAATAACCATTCATTTTCATTGCAAAATAAAAAATGCTGCATCATATATATTAAAGGTGTTCCATTTTGGGTAAACCTATTCTATCCTTTTAATTCATAAGGATGACAAAAGGGTCTGTGTATCGAGGTCAATTGAAGTGATCGTCGTTTGTATTTATGTATATACTAACATTATAATACTCGACAAAAGGAAGAGTGGATATAGGTAATTTCTTACTAAGGTGTGTTACTCACGATGTCCGATATGAGGGTACAACCTTCAGTCTAGCAAAATGTATCCGGTGTACTATGAACCTAAATGTAGAATATTAATCCATTTCCGTTGAAAGGGAAATAACAGGATAATCGCATACTACAATCCGGATACGGTCTAAATCAGCTTAGTGTAGTGAAGCTGGAATAAATCCGGACACGCAGAATGCCAACATATACATTGCTTGTGTTTAGAAGAATATGTACAAGATAAAACTGTTTTGTCTGAAAAAACCCAGACACAATACATAGCATACTACTCACGGAAACGTTACACATAAACATTATACCGGTTGTGCTGTATAAACCTGCATGTAAACGGACCCCGGCTATTTTGACCACACGATCCATACAATACGTTCAACTGTTTTTATTATTTATTTCCATTAAACAGACCCTGAGGTCCACTACAGTTGCTAACAACACGTATGTTATAATGCAGTTCATATCACAATATAGCGTATACGGCATGTTTAATTACATAAATACTACAAACATGATCTTTACTTTTATCATGAATACCATACACAATGTAATACCTTTCCAAACTCAATCATTCAGTTAATTATAATATCATAAGTAATATTCTCACTAGCGTATATTTATTGCGTATCGTAAGGAATGATTAGACAGATAATATTTTATATTTTCGTATTGGTTAGACATGCGTCGACGCAAAGTAATGCATCTATTAAGGTATAGTTTAAACGCCGCAGAATAGCATAACTTTGTTCCATGTCTAGATTTTTCCAGGAGGAACTTTTATGCTCGCTGTTTGGGTATAGGACTAACACAACTAAATTAGCCAATCAGCAAAGGTTTCTTAGAATTTTAATCTCTAAACACGTTTTCCAGTTTAATACAGTGCTTCTGAGTAATTTAAATATGTTACATGTACTAATTGTATTGGGGGCCCCTTACAGAAGGATCCCCCCCCCCCCCCCCATAGTCGCAAAGATGCATCAGAAAAAGATCCCAATGCCATAATACACCAACAATGTACATGTATATACTAAATTTGACCAACGAACCATTTCTAATTTGCGACGAAACAGAAGCCTTTGTGTGGTTGCTATGCGGTTGAATTAGCAGTCCCCTAATTCCCATATGCACGAATTTTCTTCAAAATCACAATATATAAATGTCGACCAATAAGAAGCTTCTGTGATGTTCCTATGGCAACGATACATATGCAATTGAATTCACACACCCCTATACTGTAATACCCTTATATACCAATGTTCATCAAAATCAAACAATATCAAAATTTCGACCAATCAAAAGCCTCCATGTGATTGCTGTGTGGTTGCTGTGGCAACGAAACCAGTGCGGTTGAATTCGCATTCCCCTAATACCCTTAATCATATACCAGTTTTCATCAAAATCGAACAATATCTAAACTACGACCAATCAAAAGCCTTCATGTGATTGTTTTGTGGTTGCTGAGGCAACGAAGCCTATGCGGTTGCACTCGCAGTCCCCTTATAACCCTATATACCAATTTTCATCAAAATGGAAAATATCTTAACTACGACCAATCAAAAGCCTTCATGTGATTGTTGTGTGGTTGCTGAGGCAACGAAGCCTATGCGGTTGCACTCGCAGTCCCCTTATAACCTTATATACCAATTTTCATCAAAATCGAACAATATCTAAACTTGGACCAATCAAAAGTCTCCGTGAGATTGTTATGTGTTTGCTGTTGCATGGAAACGTCTACGGTTGAATTCGCAGTACCCTACAATGTAATAACCCTATATACAAATTTTCATCAAAATCGAACAATCGGTAAATGCTTGCAGTTCATTTAAGTTGTTACAAGACCAACTCAATTGCAGTTCATTTAATTTGTTTCAAGACCAACTCAATTCATCACCCCATGAAATCGACCAAAGCAAGAGTCGATCCTTATTGGTATGTAGGTGTATTTTGTCACTGCGAACATAACTGCTGGGGTTTGGGAGACTTCTGTAATGGTCCCCTATTACAATTTGTACTTGTCCTTATATTTCAATCAACGTGTTTTTTTCAGTTACTGGGACTTGTCCATTCTGATCGTTTTCACAGGTTCTGGAGCTTGTGCAAGTCTACGTATTAACATTTAGTCCGTCATTGAAGGACCACCACACAACATGATGGTGTACGGTGGTAGTTCAATACAACCAAATAATGTAGAAACAAAACACAAAACCATATTTTGAATTTAAGATTTAATTTTTGTTGAATTTTCTGATACGTCATCGCAGACGAAGAATTTCTAGACGCGGTGCGCAGGCTCAGCTGCGATTCTATGGCAGCCATCACTTTACTAGCTCGAAGTGGAGAGCCGCTAAATTGCGAGGTTCTACGTACATCTTCTTGAATGTGAAGCTGCAGTAATTGAATGTCGAATTAGACAGGAAACCAGACGTGGATTGAAAGGACAAAGCATTTGATATGATATTTGGCTGTTCGACTGTATTTCATTTAAGACGGGACGACATGGATCTACCACAGGGGTTCGTTAAAAATGCCTGAAATGCACAAGCTATACTGATATGGGTCACGGAATACATAAACATACATTTATATGAATGTTTATATGTACTTTGACCCATATCAGTTATAGCATGATATGTGTATTTCAGCCATTTGTGACGAACCCCTGTGGATCGATTTGCACCAAGGGTTGATACTGACACAAGGCAGAATGTATAGTCCAACTTAAGTAAGAATTGAAATATATTTGAGTGAAATCAAATAATATCTAAATTTCGAACAATCAGAACCCAGTATACGGTAGCCATTTTAAATGCAGAGTTGCTAAAAAAAGGGGTGTCTTACACATCTAGGCACATGCCCCCTAATACTCGTGTGAATTATTTTTTTTGGAATCGAACAAATAGTTCCTGAAGAAGAAGAATTCCTAATTATCTGCTTGACAGTCACACAG